TTTCTCCCATTCTGTACGTTGCCTTTTCATTTTGTTGATGGTTTCTTTGGCTGTGCAGCCTTTTAGTTTGATGTAGTCCCTCAGTGAGATTACTGTGATGGAGGCCACACAGATGGGATGATCAAATGGGGAAAGAATCTTTATATAGTATCACAGGTCCCTTAGGGCAAGGGCAGCTGAGAGTGGTGTAAGTCAGCTCGGCTGCAAGGGCGAAGGACCTGTGTGGTCTCCCAGGCCCCACACCCAGAAGGGCCCTGGACTAGTTTAATGCTCTATGATCTCTGTCTTGAAGTGCTTAACTTTTGAACAAGGGGCCCCACATTTTCAGTTTATACTGGGCTTTGCAATTTATGTAGCTGGTCCTGGCTTTAGAAGGTCAAGGTCTAGACCTGGCATTAGAACGCTCAGGAGGGGTAGGGCAGGGAGGCAGGGTGGAGGGCCGTCAGGCCAGCACAGGGCAGCCTGTGAAGTAGATGAACCAGGTTGATAAGATTAAGGGGGTGAGGCTGAATTGCAGAGGGACCCAGGCCAGGGATCAGGAAAGGAGGCTTCAGGAAGATTGGAGGCAGCAGCAAAAAAATGTAACAGATAATCGAGGCCAAAGTCTCAGATGCCTGATTCTGGGCGTAGCCCTGCCCGCTCCTGTGCCTGCCTTCATGGTTTGCTCTGTTCGCCCCTTTTCTTGCATTCTGCTCCCCAGTTGCTGAAGGATGGATGGCTGCACAAGGGCTGATTTCTCTAAGAGCAAACATTCGCTTACAGTGTTACAGCACCAGGTCCGGAGGGAGGCTGGCGCCTGGAGGAGCCTGACGTTCACGCCGTGTGCACCAGGAGGCAGGGAGTCCAGTCTGCAACCAGCACCATGAAACGCAGGCGCTGCTCAGCCTCGGAGCTTGTGCCCTGCGCGCTTCTTGTCCAGCTTCGGTGGCTGTCGTGCTTCTCCTTCATAGCATCATCTTCATTTTGTGTGTGTTTGTTTTTTGCTCAAGGCTGTGGGATTTTATAAACATCAGGGAAAGGGGAATATATATTATCACACATTATCCACAAAATGAGAGATGGGTGAAGCCCGGCACATAGCTCAGATTAACAGCCAGATGAAGACTCAAGATCTTAGGCCCTGAAGGGGTGGGTTTAAAGCGAGCGCAACGGGACAGGCTTTCTGAGGGGTGGTTCTGCAGGATTAGCACCCACGCCCCATACAGCAGGTTTCATCCTGTTTTCATTTCTTCCCCACTAAGATTCTGCACAGTTTTGTGTGATAAGTTTCCACTCAAGCGAGCTGTGCTAAGGGGAACAGTATGCGCTGTTTTTGTTAAAGGGAGGTGGGCCTGCAGGCAGGGAACCTAAGGGAGGTGACACTTAGGGGATCAACAGAGGCCACTGGTCAGCTCTTCTCTATCGTTAGGAGGGTTCCTGTCCCTTTAGTGTGGGAGGTTCTTAGTTTTATAAGGAGTGAACACCCACACTACGCCCACCACTGACAGAGGCCCAGGCAGAACTGTGCCAGGAACTGTAGGCACAAGGTCTTGCTTAATCCCAAAGACGACCCTGCAATAGGTGCCAGCCCTCAGGCTGCACAGCTAGTCAGGGGGCAGGACAGGATTTGCACCTGGGTCTCTCTGGCTCCCAAACCTGCAGCCATTCCTGAAGGTCACTGCTTCCCTGTGACAAGGTGGTATCAAGACCTATCAGGGACAAATGAGCACCTACCTCTACAAGAGGCATGTCCTGAGCCCCGTTCATCGGTGTAGGCAGCCCTTCCAAGTCTGTTTCTGGAAAAGAGCTTTTGGGTCTATGCTAGGATGGGTGTGTGAGAAAAAGGCCCACTGTGCCAGTAAGTTATGTCCATGCCTTTGCTTATACATGCTTAAAAAAGGCCTGCAAATAAATATTACACCTTGAGTGTATCTTTTACCATCTCAATGGCATTATCACTTATCCTAGAAGGCAGGCCCCAAGTCTGAACAACTAGCTTTTTTGTAAGGATTAGACACTTTTTGCACCTAAATAGGTGCCTAATCTCTGATTTTAAGCTGTTGGAATTTGTCCAGAATAAACTCAGCTTACATGCATGGGAGGCCTCCTCTTAAAAACCCTGATCCCCAGGTTCCATCCAGTTCAAGGCCCACGTGCGTCAGGGCGTGTCCTCTCAGTTGGCCCGAGCACAGCTCCCTTCTCATTAGCTGTTACAGAGTGAGTGGCACGCAGTTTCTCCATTCACTATGAGGATATGGCCGCCCAAGGACAGTCATGTATCCCTCAAGCCTTTGGGGATAGCAGCACCCTTCTAAATTCCTGTCATCTGTTGCCGGGCCTCCAAACCATTTATGAATTTATGACCCTTTATGAATTTAGCAATGGAATGGGAGTTCACACTCCTGGAAGTGGTTCTAGCTATTACATTTCTTCATTTCATTCAGTCCTTAACGCCTAGCCTCAGGTTCTTTTCTTGCACTTTCCACTATTTCTGACTTCAAACACGTTTCTGGAACGTCTCCTCTCAGTCTAGGGGCATGGCTGATGTTGCTTTTATTTCTTCTTCTTTAAAGTGCTGTTTGGCATATGAATTCCTTTTTTAGGTTGCAGTCCCCAGTTTTGGGAAGTGCGTTTCCAGCTTGCTGAGGCTTACTAACAGTTAGAGTACCTGGTTGGGATGTGTCTGCGTCCATGTCTGTCACAGCAATGGGACACCCTGAGCCCTATTTATAGTCCAAAATAGGGACTTAATAACTTAAGTCCTTTAGCTTTTCCTTTTAGATTTGGGTCATATTTCTAGCTTTTGAGTCAGATTATAGTCTGTAAACTCCTGCCCAGGTTGCTACCCTGTTTCAATGAAATTTGCATCCCTGTTGTCCTTAAGATTTGTCTAAAGATCTTTGAACTTAGCAGGATTTTGAGTTCTTTCTTTTTAATTGTAAAATATAACATATATACAGATGAACATTAAACATCAATATGGTTGGATGATTAATTATAAAGCAAACATGTATCTTTAATCAAAAAACAGCTCATCACCCCAGAAGCATCCCCAATTACCTAATAATGACTCCCCCTTTTCCATCACTCCACAAGTGACCCATTTAATGGCTCTTGTACAAATCACTTCTTTGCTTTTCTGTAGACTAGTGTTTTGCCATGTATGTGTGTGTCCCTAGAGGATATAGATTGGTTTTGCCTGCTTTGAATTTTATATAAATATAATAGAATCTTACTGAAGGTAATTTTTTGTGTCTTGTATGTTTTGTTAATTTAGTTGTGAGTGTTCTCTACTTTGGGAGTTTGCAACGATTTATATATCCATGCTGTTGAGGATGGATATAAGGCTTGTTTCGGTTTTGGGGGTATTATGAACAGGGTTTCCATAAAACTTTTTGTTCATATGAGCTGGTGAATATGTGTACTTCATGTGTAGCATAGAATGCAAGGGTATAGCCATAAACTACATACCTCAGTTTTACTAGTTCACGCATATTTTTCAAAGTGGCTTTTGCATGTGTAGAAGGTCTTCTCAGTGAAGCAGCAGACCTGTCTCACAAGCCAGGGTTGGGGCCGGATCAAGCTAACATCTATGTGGAGACTCAGGCAGGGTGGGCTGACAGGTGCTGACTCCATCTCAGTACTGGGATATCTGTTTGTTTGTTTGTTTGTTTGTTTGTTTTAAGCTGAGCCATCCTGCCACCTGTTGGCACCTCAGCAGCTGCTCAGCTCTGGCCGGGAATCGAACCACTGTTGCTCAGAGCTCACACTCTTGAGCGAGCTCTTAACCAACTTGGCCACTCAGCCGGCCCCTTAGTTTTTTAATTGTGTGTCCCTGAAGCAGATGAAATGGGACAATGAGAAAACTGGCTGGAGACAGGAGCAGTAGGAAACCTCCCACTTGTGCTGTAATTCTGGGGTTTTGGGGTTGTCATAGCATGATTCTGACCAATTGGCTCAAGCGGAGCAGGTGGCATGGGGGTACCCACACATAGGAGGTGTTAGAAGATATTGGTTCAATAATACATTAATAATTTGCAAAGAATTATGTGAAAAAAATGAAAGTTTTCTTTTCTAGTTTCTCCTGAAGAATACTCTTTGTAGCCACTAAGTGGCAGGTTACTCACATCTAAATAGCTTGTAAGGGGGAATTCAGACATGGCACCTGACTTAAATTCAATCTTGTTTCGATTTGATTTTTAAACTCGTTAATCATTAAGTTAAAAAAAACATGTTGTCATAAGACATATTTGCAGGATAACATTGAAATAAAGACCCTGGTGAATTACTTCCTTTTTTCTTTCTTTCTTTTTTTTTTAAATTAAAGTTTATTGGGGTGACAATTGTTAGTGAAGTTACATAGGTTTCAGGTGTAAAATTCTGTAATACATCATCTACATATCACATTGTGTGTTCACTACTCAGTCAGTTCTCCTTCTATCACCATATATTTGATCCCTTTTACCCTCATCTACCACCGCTCCCCACCTTCTGAACTACTGTCTGTGTCTATGAGTTTTTGTTTCTTCATTTGTTTATCTTGTTCTTTTGTTGTTTTCAGTTTTAGATACCACATACCAGTGAAATCATATGGTTCTCTACTTGTTCTGTCTGACTTACTTCACTTAGCATAATAATCTCAAGATCCATCCATGTTGTCACGGTGAATTACTTTCTTCCTCAAATTAAAGATGGCGTGAGTTTCTCTTCTACAGGGTTTCTCAATCAGTCCTTTTGTGGCCTGACTACATATAAATTCTTTCCATTCTTCATTCAGATAAACAAATGTCAACTCAGTTTGCCCTTCTGCTTGGAAGTGGTCTGTTACTGTCAGCATCTGGGAACTTCCTCTGTTTATTGCATCTGGAGGATACCAGTCTCCAGAAATCTGCTTCCTTCAGCCTGACCCTTCACAAGCCCCTCCCCCAGCCCCCCCTGAGCTCTGTCTCCAGGCAGAATTTGCATTTGTTTCTGTCAGATGTCTAGCATCACAGCCATCTTGAGGTATTTAAATTGTTTTTTAAGGGTTTTTGGGTGGCCTAAGCAGTGGGAATTGAATCCACAAGTCTATGTTTGAGTCAGCTTATATTCATGAGTCTTCATTTCTCTTTTTTCATCAAGTGTTTGTCATAACCTTTGATGGGGTGGATTTTTTCCCCCAGTTGTTCCCTGAAATTGCAGGTTTATACAGGGTTCTCTACTGTGATGCCCCAATCTAAGTGGCTCTAGGATTGGTTGACTGTCTTCAGCATAATTATTAAGTGTAGTTTTGGGTTACAGGAGTTTGGCAGATGCCCCTAGGGGGGGTGTGCAGGGAAAAGTTAACAGAGGGCTGCTCCTTATAAGGCCCTACTGGCATAGTTGGCCCTTGGCTGTCTTCTCGAATTGGCTTCCAGAACATTCCTATGCTGATAAGATTGTTTTGTGTTTCTAGAGCACTGAATCCCACTGTATTAGCTTGCCTAGACTATTTGCATAATGTGGCATCAGGTTGGGTGCCTGCTTTTCTTCTGGGAATCTTCAATGACAATAGTTATGCCGGCAGAGAGAGTGCCTGTGTGACAGCCCCCAATAAAAACCCTGGGCTCTGAGATGTAAATGGGCTTCCCTGGGCAGAAACACTGCATACGGGTTACTGTGTGACCTCTCACCAGTAAGAGAATGTAGGAAGCCTACCCCTGGGTTCCTCCCGTGTCCATCTGATGTCTTTTCCCCTTGTTGGCACTGCTGTGTATCCTTTTGTTGTAATAAAACTTAGTCATAAGTACGACTATGTGCTGGGCCTGTGGGTCCTTCTAGTGGTGCGTTGAGTGTGGGTGGCTGTGAGACTCTGAAACAGGCAGACACTGGTTTCAAGACTCAGGTCTCTGAACTCATGCTCCCACTTCTATTAGGGCTTATTCCAGGTTAGCCATGAATTTAAAAAATATATGATTCATATTTTATCCTGCAGCTTTTGATATGTTTTCACATGACAATTATTCGGGGTTTGTATTTCATCATATTGTTGGATGTCCTATCTTTAGAAAAAAAATTTTTCCCCCAAAACAGTCACATCTTGGTGTGATGTCATCTCCTTCTTAATATTTCCATAGAGTAAAAAAAAAAAAAATCCAATTCTCAAATTGTCCAGCATTCACCTTTTGAATGTGAATTGTTGGGAGCGGGGCTGCGTCTCAGCTCCTTTCCTCCTTCGTACCCGACATTTGGACCCATAGTCTCAGGACCAGCCGCAGAGAGAATCTGTTTTCAGGGCCAGCAACTCTAGACCCATAGAGGAGGCTGTGAGTCGGGGGAGTGCTGTGGGGTTGCTGTTGGCTCGTTCTCTGCTGCCTCTCCCAGCCAAGGGAAATTCTCTGGAATAACTAAGAGAGAAGCTGGGAGCAAGAACATACGAGTTCATCATCACTGCTCAAGAGGGGACATGAGGCGGGGCACATGGCGAAGGTGCCCAGGAAATGGGCGAGAGGCGCTGAGAGGCACGGCGGATCAGGGCAGTGGCCGTGCGGGGAGGACAGCTGGGGCTCCGGGAGAGTCTCATTTCTTCCAGGAGTCAGCTTCAGAGATACTCAGTCCAGGAGAAGTTCCAGGCATGAGCACTCAGGAGACGCAGGGCTGGATTTCATTCACTCCTGGAAGTTTCTTCTGGTCTCTTTTCTAAGGGAAGAGGAGGCAAGCCAGCCTGATGGGGTAGAGAATGCAGTTTCTCTCCTTCAAGGCAGCAGAGTTCTGGAGTCAACCAGCTCCAACATCAGTCTCATGGTACCTGACGCAAAGAGCCCAAGGTCCCACCATGGATGTGGACTCCCCTGTCTTCCTGGGGTTTTTGGCCTGGGGGCCATGTGGTTAAGGACAGGGGCTCTCTAGGCTGGGCCACCACTGGGGTAGAAAGACAGGAATGATGTCCCCTGGGACCCACTGTAAAAGGCCCTCTTCTCCTACCCGAACCATCTGCTTTCCATTCTTCTCTCCTTTGGACAGACCGCCGCATAGCCTGCCGTCCCCAAACTTACAGGCACATATGTTAGAGATTCACTTCCTTGGGTCAGAGTCTGCTCCAGCAGTACAGACATGGGGGGACCAGAGATGTCAGAAGCAGCAGCACCCCGACACTCAACATCATGGCCTGAAAGCTTATGAACAGGGTCTGAGGACAGAGGAGCAAAGCTGTAGGCACCGGAGTGATTGTTATTGTCTGTGCTCTGTCCCCAGCCTCCTCACTGACACTGGGTCACTCTCTACCCTGTCATTCCTAAGTCTGCAGCTGCTGGGGGGTGGGGGGTGCTGCAGAAGGAGCGCTGTGTGTAGGGTCCATTGGACTTAGTGTGCAGAGAGCACCCAGGAACACCTTTGCTCGAGCCTCAGTGTCCTCATCTGAACAATGACAGGCTTGGGCTATGATTTGGTCTCCTGACCACCCCCAAATTTGAGAGGATCCAAAGAGAACATGCATTAGTGCCTTTACTGCACTGCACACACTTGCAATATTGATTCATTTCTTATTATTTCAATGTTTGTATTTCCCACTAGTCAGTAACACCCACAACCGCTGGAACTGTTCCTGTTTGTTCAATGCCACCCTCTGTGGTGACAGTGGTCAAGCTTGGTGCAGAGCAGCTGGTGCTATTTTGGACGGGCAGTCTTACTGCTGCCCACTGTCCTGGCTTGGCCGGCCTGCCCCCTCCTGCTGCTCCTCTCTGCCACCTACCGTCAGCACGTGCACAGCAGAGGTGCAGGCACAGCCTGCTGACTTCTAGATTCAGAGTGTTGGGGGCCAGGCGGGCCCCCAGGAGGCCCAGATATACAGATACAGTCTGTAAAATACTAGTCTTGGAAATGGTAGGCCGCAATCCTGATGGCAGCAGTGGCCAAGAAGAAAAGGAGAGGAGGGGGGAGGGGAGCCACCCATGCTGGGTCTGGCCGAGGGGAGGGGGTGGACTCAGGGCTCCACCAGCTGGGACTTTCAGTGGTCACCTCCTCAGCCCACAGCCTACCCTACTTACAACTTTTATTGAGAAGGCTGGTGAGTGAGGAAGAAAGCAAGAAACGGAGCACAGGGCAGCTTGGTCTCTGGAAGAAGATAAAATGGACTCAGCATCCTATTGAGAGTGAAGCTGGCCGAGACTGTTCACAGCAGGAGAAGGTGTCTCTTCTTTCCTCATATAGGGAGGCTGGGTACCCCTCTGTAGCCCTGCTCATCTAGGGGGCCACCAGCAGCCGTCTGCTGCCCTGGGTCTGAGAGATGGTGCCAGGGGCGGGGGGTGAGGGTGAGGGCGTGGGGAGCACCTGCTCAGTGGACTCCTGGTGGATATGCATGTTGATGTGGGTGGGCTTGGGGGCCCCAGGTGCCACTTCACCACCATCTGCCATCCCATGCCCGTGGACATTCATCTGGAAGAAAAGTTGGCAGGTTTTCACAGATTTCACTGGGGTTGGGGCCTGGCGGAGGCCCCTGGTCACAAAGCAGCTTTCTCAGCCCTCTCTTGGGGAGTAAGGGTATCCTGGGGCAGCCTGGCTCTGCTGAGCCCCTGAAACTACTCCCTTCACCTCGGATCTGCTCCATCCCCTCATCCTCCTCCCATAGCCCAGGGGCTGGACCAAGCCGTGCCAAGATCCCTTACTTCTTCACCCTCTGCTCCCAGTGTGCTGGCACCATCATGGCCCCCACGCTGGCTCTTCTCTCGACCTCTCCTTCAGAGCCCTCAGGCTAATGGACAGAACCTGGGTCTCCGCTGCCTGTTGAGCTTCTATTGCAGCAGCTGCTCCCCAGCTGGGCCCGGAGACACCTTTCAGCCCCTAAATACCTCTCTCTCCACCAATGGTCGGTCACTCAGCCCCATGTTGCCTGGTCAAGCCTCCCCCTACCCCAGTGAAGGACTGAGTTGTGGGTGGAGGTGGAGGTCAAAGGCCAGACTGACTTGGCATCAAACACGGATGCACCTGGCCTCCAATCATGCCAACTTCCTGGAGCCACTTCCTCTGCATGGTGGTTGGGTCCCTCCCTCCCAGCAAGTCCTGGGGGCTGAGACTGTAGAGGCTTATGGGGGACAAGATGGAGGGGCCCCTGAGGAAGGGTCCTGTGAGAATGGTCTCTGGGAAAGGGTGCCTGGGCGAGGGGCTGCCTCCCCTGCTCTCCTCAGGGACCAGAGGCGAGTGTGCGAGCGGGGAGAGCTGGGAGGAGCTGAGCTAGAATTGGGAACCAAGCAGAAGGAGGAGGGAGTTGAGAGAACGCCAGAAAGGGGAGTGGTTTGATTTTCGCTTGCAATTTCCCAGCATCCAGCTGGACCAAAGGGGCCTCTCTGGGGTTTTCCAGCTGCCCGGGGGTCACTGGCCCTGGTGCACTGGAGAGCGTGAGAGCAAGGTGGGCAACTTGGGGACTGTGGGGCTAAGCAGCCCCGGGAAATCACATGGGACTCTCTTCTCCCCACCCTTGCGGGCTGGGGCTTTCTGAACAAGGCTTTGCCCGCGCTGTGAGTGTGTGCACACCAGTGTGTGTGTTGTCTGAGTGTGTGAGTGTGTGTGTGCCCTGCCTTCTCCAGCCAGCCTGATAATCTACTCAAGACCAAACCCTTAGAAGGGCCCTTTTGCCCCGGCTGTTTTTTGGGAGGTTGTGACGCTAAAGGCCCTCCCCTACCCCACTTGCTTCTGTTTTTCTCTCTTCTGCCCGCCAGCAGGTCCTCAGCTCCAGATCAGCTTCTCCCAGTCCTGCTCTGTGGGGTGCCACCTCCCAGCGGACAGCAGGTGAGCAGGGCCCTCACAGCCTGCCGAACCCCTCATGGCAGGGTCTCTCTCTCTCTCTCTCTCTCTCTCTCCCCCTCCCTCCCAGACCAGTCCCTGAAGCCCCCATCCTGTATTGCAGGTTGCCATTCTTCTCCCATTCCTGGTTCCCCTAGGATTTGCTGGGGAGGGAGACGCTCATTAGTTAGAGAATGTGACCCTAAGAAAATTGCCGGTGGGAGGAGGGCTACCTGCTTGGCCATGTCAACCCGGCTCTTCTCCTTCACCAGCCCCCCCCCCCCGCATTTATTTTGGGTGGGGTGGCTGAGGCTCACACGGTTTGGTGGTGAGAGGTCTTTTCGAGAGTGAAGCCTGATGGTAGAGGGCCCAGCGCGGAGCAGGGGTCCTGGTCCTCTCTGCCCACCCAGCTCCAGGGGCAGTGGGAGGGGCTGGGCAGAGAAGAGTGACCAGGGCAGCAGGGAAGAGCCGCACAGTCTGGAGTCGGGTGTCGTGGGATGGGCATCTCCATGGGGATGGCCTGGTTCAGAGGAAGAGCAGGGAGCGAGGCTGATCTGGGGCTTGGAGTGGGGCGAGGTTCCCCAGGGGGCTCAGAGGGAGCTGGAACCCAAGGCACATGCAAGGTGCAGCAGGGTGCTGACCCCGGGTCCCAAGGGAAGATGTGGTTGGAATCCGGGCTGGACTTCCTTGTGTGTGTCTGTGAACAAGCCTGAACCTCCTGTGTCTGCAGAACTGTCGAGCCCCTGTCCTTTCTACTGTAAAGGAGCCAGGTAGGTGAAAGAGTGGAGCTGCTCTCAAAAGTGTATATGGGAAGGTTTTCAGATTGCTATATTGCTGCCATTATTAGAACTGTTATTAATAAGATTACGATTTAAACAGTGATACTTAAGTAGGATGCCTATGAGCATTACCTATAGAGGATTTCTTTTGGAGCTAGGCAAATTGATTCCAATGTGCATACGGAGAAGTAATCTAGCAAAAATGGCCATGAAAAAAAAAATAACATGAGGGGAGATCATGACACAGCTCAACTAAATATTAAACTCTATAGTCATAATTAAAATTGTGGTAATGGTTCAAGACCTATCAGACACACCAATGGGCAGAGTATAAAGATGGAATAGATCTGAATTCCTATGGCAATTTCATTTTTGCTCCGGGGAGCATTTTAAATCAGTGGGAGAAAGATGGTATATTCCACAGACAGAACATACCCTTCAGAAGTTAATCATCTAGGGCTGGCCGAGTGGCGCGTTGGTTAAGAACGGGCTTGGGACGCCAGAGTGCCCTGGTTCGGATCCCACATATGAGGGCCAGTGACACTGCCCTCCACAGCTAAGATGCTGAATAACAGCTCAACCTGAAGCTGGGCTGCTGTGAGTCACTGGCGACGGCGTAGGCTGCAGCCCCTGTTGCAGTGGGTTGCCATGGGCTACCGTATGTAGCCAGCAGCCAGCGTGAGCGGCCAGCCAGCAGCCGCAGTGAGGCGACTGATCTGCCTCGCCTGGGAAGAGCGCAGTGATGGTGCCAACTTGGGCCAGTAAAGCAACGTCCTCCACAACTAGACTGAAGAACAAAAGGACAGCAACTTGTCTGTTCCCCTTCCCCCAATTCCCCAAAAAAAATTAAAAAAAAAAAAAGTTAACCATCTAAAAAGAACAACCCAACTTGGATCCGTATTTTCCAAATGACAAGGTATATTCCAGATAGATCAACATTTATATGTGAAAACAGAAAGCCTAAAACCAGTTAGGAGAAAACACGGAAGAATTATTTTATAATTGTGAAATGGGGAAGTCTTTTTTAAAGTATGATACGAAACCCAGATTATAAAATCATAACAAAAGATGGAAAACTCTGATTACATTAAAAAATAAATAAATAAATCACAGATTGTAAAGCAATATTTGGAACTCATGTCACAGATGGTAATTTTTCAAATAAACAGAAAACTCCTAAAAAGACCAAAACAAAACAAAGTAAACCAAGGAGAACCCTGGATAGGAATGGAGCACTCATGAAAGAAGAAAAAGAAAAGGTTGTTAAACATATGAAAACACGGCCACCCTCGCTCACCATAAGAGAGCTGGTGAGCTACAGATTGAAACTATATTAGAATAGTCACAGGAAGCAGATAAGTGCTTGCCTGGGGCCAGGAGTTGGGAGGGTTTATTGGGGGAGGGGAACATTAGGGAACTTTTTGTAACATCAAAATAGTGTATATTTTGATTGTAGTTGTGGTTGTACAGATACACAACTTTTTCAAAGTTCATTGAGATATACATTTAAAAGGGGGCATTTTACTGCATAAAATTGATTCAAATCTACAATGGAATGTAATTTTCCTGATATACATTTGAAAAAGATTCAAGAAAAGTTTTGTGACACCCTCTGCTGGCCATGGGAATTTGACCTTGCTCCTGCATGGGAATTGCAGGGAGATAGCTCCATGGAGGGCAATATCTATTGAAATTATAAACACATACGAGTATTCCCATCGACCTGCCAATTCCACGTTGTAAGAAAAAAGTAAGTGTCTCTCGATAGGGCACTGCTTACAAAAATTATGATGCATTCAGACAATGGAATACTAGGCAGCTGTACAAACAAGTGAGGAAGCATTCTGTGGCCTGATGGAGGATTGTTTTAAAAACATGGTTCTGTGAACAAATCTCTGAGCAGAGCAGTGTGTGTCGTCCTGCCATTCGTGGGTAAAGAGAGGAGAAAGAGTATTTTACATGCTTTCGTATGCAAAAAAAGTCATTGTAGGATATATAAGAAAATGATAACATTGGCTTTTGTCTGGAAGGCAGCTAGGTGACTGGGAAAGAAAGATGGGAGGGTTTTAAAGGTATGTCCTTCTCATCTTTTGAATTTTTTAACCATATGAAACTATTATGTATAAATACACGGTTGACCCTTGAACAATGTGGGGAGGTTAGGGGCACCAATCCAAAAATCTGCAAATAACTTTTGATTCCCTCACAACTCAATTACTAATAGCCTACCAGAAGCCTTACCAATAACATAAGTAATTGATTAACACATATTTTCCATATTATATGTAATATAGATAGATAGATATAGATATATGTATTTTAATTGGGGAAGAGTGTGTTTTTCCAGGACTCATCAGCTCCAAGTCAATCTAGCTGTGGAGGGTGCACTTCAGTGGCCCATGTAGGAATTGAACCAGCAACCTTTGTGTTATAAGCACTGCTCTAACCACCTGAGCTAATCAGCCACCCCTATATACTATATTCTTACGCTGTAGAAAAGAAAATGTTAATAAGAAAATCATAAGGAAGAGAAAATACACTTACAGTGTTTATTGAAAAAAAATTCTCATGTAAGTGGACCCGTGCAGTTCAAACCCTTGTTGTTCAGGGGTCAACTGTATATACTAGGTCACTGAATTAAGTAATTCATATTCTTTTCTTTGTCCAACCCAAGACCCAGACAAACTATATCAGACCATTCTGGGGAGAGACCCTGGAATATATGTGGTGAAAAACTCTGGAGTTGATTTGGGTTTGCATCCCAGATCGTGGTCAGTGTGACCTTAATACCTGCACTGGGAAGACCCTTGGGATCTTGGCAAGGAGAATGCTTTCTCCCCCTTCACTCTTGCAATGTATGCCTTGTTTTCTTACTTACTTCCCAGACCTCACTTCTGTACATCTTCTCCCCAAGAGGCAGCATGACCCAAAACATGGTGACTGTGAATGGAGTCGATGTGGCCTCTACGCTGGCCCAGCCCACCCACATCAACATCCACATCCACCAGGAATCAGCTCTGGCACAACTGAAGGAGCTCTTTTTTTGCCGTTGGAACATTGGGCCTCCCAAGACCAGGATAAGATATGGGCAGTTGGCACTTGGGGTAAGAGTAGGCTGGAGAGGTGGGTGAGCAAGGTGGTAATTCTTCTTCCATAGGATGCAAAAAAGGAAAGTTGGTTGAGTCCCCATGAAAACTCACTGTTTATACCCCACCTTATTTGGGGAAAGGTTTTGGAAGTTTCTGCACAAAGATTTGTATGGAAAGGAAAATTATGGACCTTTTCTTTGGTGCAGCGGGGACAGTCTCAGCTAGAGGTAGGGGTGGGTGGAGGATTCCTGGAGACTGTTAATGCAGTTTAATTGAACCCCTGTGGACTGAGGGCCTACAGATAAGACAATGAGATAGGCACTTTGGGAAAACTACAGAGAGAATCCCTAGGCTATCACCGGAAAGTGCTCAGCCCCCACCAGAAAGGATCAGGCAACTACACAAATGCTTACAATTACAGGTGACATCCTTGGGAGGCAGGATGGCATCCTGCAGGAGTTGGCATCTGAACCAGACCTTGGATGGAGGAGAAGTGGGTTTAGACAGATAGAGGAAGAAAAAACATTGCAGGTTAAGAGAATGGCAGGAACAAAGAAGCCAGAGCACTTAGGTCAAGTTCCAGCGGAATAAAGAGAGGGGGACTTGCGGCTGCTTAGACTGAGAGTCAGACCAGGGCCATATTGCTGAGAGCCTTGAGGGACAAGGTGAGGAGTCTGTCCTGAATCAGCTTCAATAGGGTTTTAGGCTGCCTCACAGCCAGGAGCTGTCCAGGTAAGAAGTATGGAGGGTCCACACCTTCATGGTGATGGCAGAAATGACAAAGAAAGAGAGGAGTCCAAATCCTTTGTGGATGTGGTCCCCACAACTTGGGAGTGAATGGCTTGGGGTCCAAGGGATGAGAGGAGTGTCTGAGAATGTGCTGAGGTTTGGAGTGTGGATGGCCAGGAGATTGGAGCCCTGGAAGTCAGGAGAGGCAGACACTGGGAGTGTGGTTGGGGTGTGGGATTTGAATGTGACGAATCTGAGGTGCCGACAGGACGTGCAGGTGGTGATGTTCAAAATGTTGTGATAGTTGGATTCTCAGGAAGCAGATGCTGAATCGGAGTTCGGTGTACAAAAGGTTTATTGGGGTGTAACCTCCTATGAAACGGAAAGGGGGAGACATCAGACCATGATGGAGGCCTAACAACATCTCTGCTAGCCCAGTGGGGAGCTCAGCCCTAAGACTGCCCAGTACAGGAGTTCCGTGTTAGGTGGAAATGGCCCGGTACCACTGCCTTGCTTAACCATTGGCTGGGTGGCCATCCTCAAATACTGAGCCCTTAGTGAAAGATGAGGGAACCCTGAAGGGGCTGATCCCTGTAGGCTGTCTTCCAACCTCATTCCTTTCTTGAAGGGCGTCTTTGCTGCCCATCCTGGACAGTGAGATGGGATTCCTAAGGGAAGGCCATCAGGTGGGGTGAAAAGTGTGCTATTTAGGAAAAAGTCATGAAAGATAAAAGCCTAGTATGTCAGAGGGATTGGGGAGAACCAGGACATGCCTCTTCATGGATGTTAAGAGAATAGAACCTTCCAGAATCAAAGCAGCAGAGAGGTCAAGGCAGAGGAAAAGGAGAAAGGCACCTCGGCTGCTCCTGGGTGTGTGGGCTCGTGGGAAGGGGTCTGACTCTTCACCCTGTTTTACAGGTGACCCAGATATTGCTGGGGGCTGTGAGCTGTGCTCTTGGGGTGTTTCTGTGCTTCGGGCCCTGGATGGATCTGCGTGGCTCAGGTTGCGCCTTCTGGGCAGGGTCTGTGGTGAGTAAGGAAGGGGCCGTGAGCTCAGTGGGAGGCAGTGGTTATGGGTTCAGAGAGAGTTCCTTTAAGTCTGAGCCAGGGACTTGGGGAAGAGACCAAAGCCCCGGAGTCCAAATGCCCTTTGCTATGAGGAAGCTGCCTTAGGGGTGAGCAAAAACCCCTTTCGCTCTCCATGTTCCTCTTTAAGGCAAGGCTGGGAAGGGCAGGGCAGCTGTGTGGAGTCCTGTCTGTATGCTGGGTTTCTTTGCCTGTCTTTTGGATCATGCTTCAAAGGAGCTGGCTTTTCTGGGAACTGTTAGGGGAAGGGTGATGGGAGGATATTTCAGGAGAGTAAATGGGAGGTCTTTGCTGGTGTCTTCTCTTCCCAGGCTATTGCAGCAGGAGCTGGGACCATTATCCATGACAAACACCGGAGCAAACTTTCAGTGAGTCTTGGGCACCTGCTGTCCTCACCTTGTCCTTTGTCCCCTTCTAGGTCTCAGGTTTTCTCAGGTTCCATGTTCTGTCTTCTCCTTTTTGGATCTCAATATCCTGAGATCTTTCCTGGAGGGGTGGGGAGGGCTTCCTGAGCCAGGGAGCCAGGGAAGAGGTGACAGGGTTGAGGCCAGAACCCCACGGCTCTGCACTCAACAGACGGAGTCTGCATCCTGAACCTCTGTCTTCTAGGGCTGCGTGTCAGGTCTGCTCACCTTGGCTGGTGTTGCCACGGCCGTGGCCGCTCTCGCCTTCTGTGTGGATAGTGTACGCTGGGACCAGGCTGACTACCTCTTCCCGGACAGCGTGTGTGATCGCCCAGCCCCTGCCACCACACAGACTTGGTACGGATGGAACCAGCAGAGCCGTTACGATGATTCAAACTGGCAGGAGAATGAGTGTAGAGCCTTCATAGTGATGCTGAAGGTGAGAACAGAGTCCCACCTCCCAGGGACCCATCACAACCGTCTGTTCCTAAGGAACTGGGCACTAGAGGGTGACCTCATCCTAGGTGTTTGGTTTAGGAGGTTTTAACTTAAGCTGAAGACAGTTCTCAGATCCTCATGGCATGAAGCTTCCTGAGATGAGGGGCAAAGAACAGACATTTAAGAGTGGACATCATGGGCCATCCAGCTGTCTTTCCTGGTGTGTGGGTGTTCCAGTTATCTGTTGCTGCACAACACGCTGCTTTCAATTGTAGAGGCTTAAGCCTACAGGATTTAAAAACAACTTTTATTACTTCTCACATTCTGTGGGTAGATTGGGCTCAGATGGGCAGTCCTTACTTTGGGTTTTGTCATGAAGTTGCAGTCAGATGCCAGTTGGGGGGCGGGGGGTGAAGTCATCCAAGGACTGGACTGGGCTGGATATCCAAGGTGGCGCACTCCCGTGGCTGGCAGTTGATGGCGGCTCTTGGCTGGGAGCTCAGCTGGGACCGTCAGGCAGAGAGAGCCTACAGTGGTTTCTCCACGTGGCTTGGGCTTCTCCTAGCATGGCAACTAGGTTGCAACATGGGGCATCCTACTGTGAGCTCTCCAAGAGGTAGGAATGGAAGCTGCCAGGCCAGTTAAGGGCTCCCCTGTAATTGGCATAGTGTCACTTCCACAGTATTTTATTGGTCAGAGCAATCACTGGCCCTTCCAGGTTCTCGAGGAGGGGAGAGACGGATCCCACCTCTTCATAGGGGGGGGCAAGGTCACAGTGCAGACAAGCAAACGGGGTGGAAGCTGTGGCTGCCCACATACTTGGAAAATGCAGGCTGTTTTAGTGGGAAGTAGTTAGTTGAACAGCCTGATACCTGGAGGTGATGATGAGGTGGTTGTCAGAGCAGAATCTGAGGGGTGGACTCCTGACTATTTTTTTATTTTTCCTTTATCTCCAGAACTTGTTTCAAGGAATTTGTATTATGCTCCTGGTTGTCTGTGCCCTGCTGGTCATTGTATCCTTGGCTTCCCTGGGCATGGGTCTTCGGAGCTTGTGCGGCCAGTGCTCCCGGCCCCTGGTAAGCCATCAGGGAGGCAGTGGAGAAAGAGTGGTCTGGTCGGTGAGGCCCTGGGAACGGAGGAACGTGGGGGCCAGGAACACTGCTTCTCAGAGGCCACGCTCGACCTTCCTCAGCTCCTCCCCAGGGCTGGCCTCTGCCCTGCGTTGTCTGGGGAACGTGACCCTGTCACTGTGTCCTGGGTTAACTTCTGCCCTCTACCTCTCCACGCCCTCCTACACTCATTGTCCCACTATCCCCTCCTTTCCATGCTAGATCTTTGTCCCTCACCCCTTCCTCTGTCCCTCACCCTTTCCTTCTCCTCTTTCTTTCCTTTTCCTGATTTCAAGTTCTATGAGGCTAACTCTGCCCCACCCTTTCCCCCCCGAAGAAATGGTTTTTTCGCCTGTCTTTTTAGGATGACGAAGAGTCAGAGAAGAAGCTACTGGGGGAGGATTCAGTGCCTCCCTCCCCCTCCAAGGAGAAGACCAAGGCTGCCATCATCCTGTGAGCCGCCAAAGACCCCCATGAATTCGCCCCCCGCCCCGCGTGTGCCTCCAGAGTAGCCCAGGGCCTGTGGGGAGGCCAGTATTCGCTCCCAGGGCCCCTCACTGCTCTATCCCTCACAATCGCCTGTCCTTTGGCCACTGCCCTGTCCCCACCATCCTCACCCACTGTTCCCACCCCAGTGTCCTCACATCAATGAACCGGTATTGTCACAGTCTCCCCAGTGCTGATTAAACAGAAACAACCACACAAAATGATTTAAAACAAAAAGAATGTGGTCTCCCTTTGTTTAAACACGTGTGTGTTTGTGTGTTTGTGTGTGTGTTGATACATATGAAATTAAATGAGAGTTGATTTATTACATTCTGCTATACCCCAAGTAGCAAAAGTCCTTTTTATGATTTCCTTCCACTCAATGTAAAGTGAAAATGAGTCTCACATGCTTGAAATCTTTTTGCCTACGATTGTCATTCAGCGTCTACAACCTTGACCTGTGGGATTTCCAGAGCTATGTAAAGCACGGTACAACGTTTTCCCTCCCTCCTTCTCTCTCTCTCTCTCTCTCTCTCTCTCTCTCTCTCTC